TTTTTCTGTTTTTCTGCCGTGTCGTGACATCTGGCATATTTGTATGTGATAGCAGGGGAATTAATCTGACAACTAACATGTGTTGAGACGAAGATAAATGCCGCTTCACTGACAGCGCTTTTTTATGATAGCGACTTGACACTCCGTGTTAACACTTGGCTCGGACCCGGCTTTTCTAAGAATCTGCACATCTTAGGAGAGACTTATTTAAGAAAGATTGCTTCGGCATCTGAACTTACTTCCAAACTTAATTTAACTTTTATAAACTTCACATAAAACGGATCGTATATTTCCTATTGTTTCATATTTTGATACTGATCCATTTTATTTTATCCATCTGGTAAATTTAGCTATATCTCTATCATTTATATTTTCAAATTTTGTCATAACCCTGTCACCAGCCTGTATATTAGGAATCACAGACAAGTGTTCAAGCAGGACGCGATCCTGTGTTGAACGAACTGATTGACCTTATTGAAATCGTTTACTTCTTGCCATGAATATTACGGAGTTGAAAATAAATGGCTTTTTGGTTCAATTTCGCACACTAATTTGGCCATTTTTTCACAGCATCAATCCAATTTTTATGCCTCCAATATTCTGGGGTTTCAATTTTCTTGCAATCATGACGAAGATGAAATAGAGATGAAATGATAGGCATTCCATGAAAATTCAATAGCCCCAAGTTGATTATTGCTTGCCCGAAAACTGACTGCCTCTGAATATTACATTGTCCTGCATGGCCGCTTCATTTATAATGTGGCCCCGTAGATGTATCTCTAATATCAACAGTTTGTTATACAGTTCCCGGGCCTGATGCCATCTGATTTATGTTGAGTATGTATTAGACATTTGAGGGACAACTTTGTCCTAAAGGGGTCCTTAGCGTTTTAATCGTTAAACGGCCTTGCGGTGGTAAACAAGCGTGTTGAAGCTTGCCCCGAGGAGGGCGGTTCTGCCTGGATTCTGATTGGTGATTCGTCTTTTTTATATCGGTTTCTTGGACGGAAGCAAAAATAATTCTACAGACTTCTTGGACTTATTCGATGGTGTTTTCGTCCGTAACTTAGAAAATAATCGCCATCAACTGTGATTATGTCGACGTGTCGCTTTTGTTATTTTGAATCACTGTTTTAAGTTTAAGAATTAGTTTGGTTAACGTTATCGCTTTCGCAAACCTCTTTCGCACATGTTGAGATATATTTATTCTTATTTCATTTAGCAAATAAAAATGGTGTTACCCAGTTTTGGTAGGAAAACCATGGAGGACTATTACATGTGATCGGAGAGCTGCAATTGCTATGAAAAAGTGGTTGGGTATGTATCTTATTGTGGAAAATATTCACTTTCCTATGATTAGATCAGTTAAATAGTGACATTGCTGAGAGAATCATCGAACTGTTCTCCTAGAGCTGAAGAACTAAGTCTGAAGTGTTTTTGGATATTGCAGCTCAGATATCACTTCAAGCAGTAAGAGGCCCAGCCAGCAGAGAATTGGGTAGTAATATATATATATATATAACAAGCGTGAGTGTGGTACACAGTGCTCAACAGTCCGGAGCATTTAAGCACAATTAAAATAAATAAATAAATAAATAAATAAATAAATAAATAAACAAGAGACAGGTAATAACCCCGACTCCGAGTTTCACGGGCATACCCAGAAGGTATGCCCGATCGTCAGGAGGTTATTTGAAAATGTTTTTTTTTAGTCGTTTATGTACACGGCGTGACGACTCTTACGTGTATACATATATATATATATACATGTATATATAGAAGAACTTCATCCTCCAACGCAAATTGGTTTGAGTCACAACAACAGAAACCTGTGAAATGACCGGCTTATTTACGTGTTTTCCATTTTCCACATCATAACCACTCAGTTTAAACCAGTATCCTTCCTTACTATGCAGATCAATTCATGCTAAGGTTCACACATTTAAAAAGGAAGGCTAAGTATACATCTACATGAGCGCTTATAATTCTGTCAATGTTGGTTCTATTTTGGTTGTATTTTGATATCTCTATGAGGATTATATTTTATGTACAGGACTAGTAGATCCCTCCCTGAAGCCCTGGAGACGACGGCTTTCAACAAACCCGACTGCCTTATCCTTCTTTGTTTCAAACAAGCACGTGTATATTTGAAGTCAATCAAGTGTTCCTTTTACCGCCGGAAAGCTCAAAATAGCTTTTGCTGGTTATTTTAAGACTCTTGCTTGTCTTAAATCAGCAACAATAATGCGTTAGTAATGGTACAGTGGCACAAAGTTTCTGCAGTTTTTGTCTTATGGCAATACAGAAAAAGACAAGTAGAACAGTGGTTACATTTCGTCACTGTCCATACGCCAGCTAACAGTTACATGCTAGTTCTGCCGGAGAGGCACTTCCCCCTGTTACTTTGTGCTTATTATTATGCGACTGTGGACGGAATGTCCTGGCAACATATGACAGAACGGACGGAATATCTGCATGACATAAGACACATTGCATGGGCAGTCCGCATGACATATGACACAATGAATGGACAGTCCGCGTGACATATGACACAATGAATGGACAGTCCGCGTGAAATATGACACATTGCATGGACAGTCCGCGTGACATATGACACAATGAATGGACAGTCCGTGTGAAAATGACACATTGCATGGACAGTCCGCGTGACATATGACACAATGAAAGGACAGTCCGCGTGACATATGACACATTGCATGGACATTCCGCGTGACATACGTCGACGTCAGCATGGCCAGCGCGGTGCTTGTTTCCAGGATTTTCATTATGCTAGCATTCAAGGTGACCTAACTTTGCTGTCACTAATACCAGGTAACAATGGAGATAGGTTATACAATGTTGGTAATTTAAGGAGGACTGACATTTATTGTGCCTGGATTTCTTTGTGGAATATATCATTAAAAAACATCACGATTCCCAGAACAAAGTTTATGTTTCTTAATAGCTGCTGGCCCTGGTAAGGCACACGACTTCAGGTTTCATAATAACAGGAGTTTTGCTGAAGTTGTCTGCAGTTCTGAGCGTTTTCTAAAAATTGGGAAGAGACTTGTGGTTTTACTTCAAGGGAAAATGCATGTCAAACGCTAAACTCAGTTTACCAAGAGATGTATTTCCTATTTATTTGTTATGATGGTTTCTTTAAAATGAGTTGTTTTTTATGTAACTGCAGTTGGCAGTAAGACCTGTTTCCGATCTGAAACCATGCCTCTATAATCATAACTGAACTCCATGCTGACCAAAGCATCCGTTACATTGTACACCGGACTTGTGACCGCTTGGGGAACAGGTGTTTTGTCCCTACCCCTAGCTGATTCGGTAGGCGTGACCACGCTCGGGCGTGACAGACATTTGAGCCTCTTGAGCTGATAGCAATTTAGCGTGAACCCCCAGGGAGTTAGATCGATCCAGATGGATCGATCTAAGTGTGGGAACCCAGTCTTAAAGACAGTTTGCAAGTTCTCCCCAGGTCTTTATACTAAGTTCTAAGAATAACAACTACTTGACGACTTAAACTCACAGCGATATCTGTAGCGGTAAAAGTATGGAAGCTGTACCTCGTCCTGGTTGATTAACTGCTAAGTACTCGGAAAGCCGACGTTTTTATTGGGCTTTCCCTCTTAATTAGTCTTGATGAAACCCTAAGAATCCTCTGTGTCAGTCTTTTGAAGCGTATCGATTTTACACGCTTTAATCCATAAATAAGAGTAAGTGTTTCTGTTTTAGGCTTTGTATCATTTCCATTGAACGGGTAAATATTTTCCCCTACAGTTCAGGTTTCTCGTGAAAATCAAATATTCGAAATCCATGTATTCTGCGAATATTCATCCTATCACGATGATGATGTGTCTGGAGCGAAATGACACGCAATCTGTTTTGTTCTGTTCACAGTAGTGTTTTTGTCTTTAAAAGTGCTGCCGACACAGTGTACATTCATAACTCATAGATTAAATTCATGTGAATAAAATTTTATTTGACTTTTTATCTCAGCGGTGTGCACGCAGTATGCACCTTAAATACATAAACAAAAAAATAAACATATATTTCCAGGTAGTGACGCTGATCTTATTTTAATTCTTATTTATGGGAGACCGGGGCTAGTTGGACCCCGGGGTAAGTTGCCCCCCCCCCCCCCCATCAATTTGTGACAAAGTAACTATGGGGTAAAAAAATGATCACATCATTTTGTAAAGTGACCGTATCCAATAGTGCTAAGAAAGCGTCGGCAGTGAGTCCAATGAAATAATTTAACATCGTAATGTAACTTTATTAAAGAGACTTGATTGGGGGCCAACTTACCCCAGGCTCCAACTAGTCCCGGTCTCCCCTATAAAATAGCACATACCATTTACTCCAGCATGGACGGGATTTCGAGAATTTAATTTTAAACATTTCACCGAAACAGTTATTAGAATGATCCACTTGATATGCGCGTCCAGTGGCGGGTCACGGTGTTAATATGACATGTCCAGAACGTTCCTCCGTCATTTGGAGCACAGATGACGTGTTTTCTATTCAGAAGATTCACTGGAACAACCTGACTTCTCATCCTCTCACTCTCACACACTGAACCTCCAAGAGTAATTATTTTGATGAAAACATACAGGTAAAACGAAATATTGATTTCTTTTATTCATCCTTAAAGCGAAAACAGAAACAAAATACCTGTAAAATTGGAGGAAAAAAACATCACCTCCATCAGAGCGCCAGAACGCCCTGTGAAATGGTGTATTGTTCTAATAAACATGATGGGGTCATTTATTAAATGGAAAACAAGAGCAATCATAAACACTGAGAGATACCTCAGTCTCAGCTGAAGCCCTGGAAAAACCTTCTTCCATGAACTCGTATGTCTCTGTAGGATTGATTGACTCGAGGTGAACCGAGTAATAAATTGCCGCTTAGTCTATTCCGAGAAAGCGGGCTTTGCGTGGCTAGCGTAATCAATGGAAGGATATCTATATATACCTGTGTAGAGATGAGGCAGAGATCAGTTCTTTACGAACAGCGACACCGAGAGCATAGGAAGAAAATACAGACTGAAGTTAATAACCAAGAGAGAAGTTACAGGAAGGGAATTGCTCGGGAGAGAAGCAAAGTGAAGTGAAGTTGATGCAGGTAGAATTTGTCGACAAGAACAATCGAGGCATACAGTACTAAATTAAAGCGTCAAAGAAGTTAATTTGAAAAGTATTGAAAAGCATGTTAAATCTTCAACACGTTGACAGTCACCAAACCACCCCATCTAGTGTGAACAGAAAGCGCAAAATTCCACCCAACAAGACAAAGAAACTGAAAATGACGCCTCCAGCATTGCTACTAGAACGCCGTGGCAGCGTCCCCAGTGACCTCCCCTCGGACAACAGAACCAATCAGTTGGAACGCCAAGCGCACATGTTGCAGCAGTGTGGTTGCACGTGCACGTGTGATGACACGTACCGCGTGCGCCAGTTCTCTCTGTCTCCAAGGGGACTTAAAAAGAGCGAAGATGTATTCAGGACGCGACACTCCAGTTCCGGCAGCTGTCTTTCTTTCACAGACTCAATGGAAGGAATGCACGAAGTTTTCCGCCACAGAACTGACAGAAAAAGTAGCAAAGATTCCGGTGTTGGCAGCAGTGATATGGACTATGGCAGGGTGTATAGGGTGGCGATACTCGGAACTGGAGGGGTCGGGAAAAGTTCACTGCTCAAACAGTTCGTCACTTCTGACTTCGTTGATACATACGACAGTGATCCCTTTACAGGTAGGCCGACCTCTGTGTCTGCGTGTTTTTATCATAGCTTTTATCAAAGTTTAATTTTTCCATTTACGACAGAACTAAGATGCACTTTTTATGTTAATTCCAGAGGATCCATTCCTTTGTTATCTGTTCGAGGCACAATCAATAGATTTTAAGAACAACAATAACAGCTTTAAATTATTAGATTGTTCGGTTTCACTGACCCAATCACCTGACCTGAGCAAACCACTGACGCCATTTAGAGTGTACACATGTTTATAGATTAGAAGAATGGGAATCAATTAACAAGCAGTCTTACGAGCAGTCTTCATTGTCAATAATAATTAATAGATGTCAGGCAGATAACCAGGCAGCTGTCGCTGTGCAGGCTTTGCAGCTGTACTACGCACTCTCTTAGAAAAACAATATGCACAAACTTTCAGACTGATGTTGACAAATAAATACAAGAGACTGTTATCACTGTGCCCTGCCATGCCTCTCTGTGGAGAGAGGAACGAAGAACATGAAATCATGTATGTTTTATTGGTTTCTTTCAGACGAAGGCGAGGAGGACGAGATGACGGTGTGTGTGTCTGTGAATAAACACGAAACTGAGCTGTATTTCTTCTGTGCGGAAAATGTCCAAGTGAGTATTACATCCAAGACAATTAAATACTTTTACTACGGCTGGTTCCCACCGCTGAAATAGTTTCTTCTCGCTTCCTCTCCGGTGTTGACAATGATCAGTTATATTTTATTTTGAGAAGAACCTAATATCGCCACCGACGCTTAGTGCGACACGATCCTGTTACTAAATTCATTTTTTTCTTTTATTAATTATCAGGAGGCCAGTATCCCGGATGTGGACGCCTTCATCATCGTCTACGCCGTGGCTGACCGCTCGTCGTTCGCAGAAGCAGAAGACCTCCTGTTACAGCTGCATAAAAAGAAACTGACCCAACCTGTGGTGATAGTGGGCAACAAGAGTGACCTGGTGAGGGCCAGGACTGTCAGTACCCACGGTGAGTTAAACTAAACTATGTGATCAACATGTGACTCTTTTTAGAGTGATGTTGAGTGAGTCTGAGGTGTTACCAGGTTGTTATACAGCTGCGGTTATACACTACGCGAAGAGATGATTTGATATAAAGTAAAATACATAAGTTGTTTTTATTTCCGTTATTCGGGTCGCCTCATAATGTCCCCTCCTGATTTAGAGCTAGCATCGGTGATAATCAGTTTAATTCCCGTGTTGTTTATGTCTTTGACTTGATGGATATTTTTAAGTTAGGTATTTATAGCTGAGCTGGGCGCCCTCATATACATTTAGAATGTACTCATACCATTTTGGACCTTAAATTGAGCTGTTTTGATTTCCCTGATTTGAGGACGCTGCTTTCACTAAGCGACCGTTATGATTAATAGATGTCATTACATCCTAAGCAGTGAGCCCGGAAGTCTAGGGTTAATCTGTAACAGGTTTTAGAATGTTATGAAATGATTGATGTAATCACCCAAGTGACTGCTCTGTATGTTGAGTAGACATGTAATACTGAAGTCATACTGACTAATTCAGGTGTCTTTAATCCATTTGTTCATTGGGTTTTCGTGAGATCAACGGTTACAAAAAGTGCGCATCAGTAACCATAATATGGATTGATCGTTACTGTTAGAGCAAAAAAAAAAAAAAGCAGTGGTGTGTCTTGTGTGTGCTTTTTGTCGTTAAAACGTTCATTTTTCCGCATATAATTACTTCAATTGACGCATATACCGTATGTATCCTTTCAGAGGGTAAACTGGTGGCCACAGTGTACGGCGCCAAGCATATCGAGACCTCAGCCGTTCTGAAGCACCAGGTGGATGAGCTACTGGTGGGGGTGACCACCCAGCTCAGGATGAGGAGCGGTCTGGACGCCGACATCGAGAGTAAACTGGACAAGATCAAAGGCAGATCCGGAGACAAAAAGACAATTTTCCGAAGCAACAGTGCTAAAGAATTGAAAGAACTTCTGAAAAGAGTTTTTATCAAATCTGATCGTCGCCGATCGGGACATATGGATCTTTACGAACTTTAAAATAACAACTTATCTGAGTCACGTTGACGAGGACAAGAGTGCGTCAGCAAGTTGAAAGCTTCTGTGATATGTGCCACCAGACGGCGCTGGCAGCCAAGATAAGCTCACACTGACTGATACGGCACAAAGATATTGAGTGAAGAAATGTTAAGATATAAGGTGGAATGTTTCTCAACATTTAATTATAATTTCACTTTACTGTAATTGTTTTTTGGAAATACAGACATTCTTAAATTATAAAAGTATCATATAAGATATAAATTGTATAAATAAAAATATGTGTAAATAGTTTTTAATGCCAAAATATAATAAAAGAATATCATTAGTCTTGTTGGTTACTTGGATACTTCATAAAAAAGTCAAAACTCCATCGCAAACCCCTCTCTGCTTTATTGTTACTTTCTTCGTGTTTTAATATCATTAACATTTTTACAACTGTTCTTATTATCATTAACATTTTACAACTTCAACTTGCAATTCCACACTCTGTCAAAATGCGCGCATATTTCTTCTAAAAACGAGTGTTTTATAACAAGTTTAAAATTTCGGCAACTTCTCTCTACCGTGTTTGGGCATACTGTGATTACCTCGAAGATTAACCTATAAGATATACAAATCACTTTCAAAATGTGCTGGTTAAGGGTTTTATTTCAAAAACTTCAAGCAGATAAGTGGATGTTAATATAGAGTTAACAGGAAATTGATTCAAGAAATGAACGGTAAAATAATGAGCGGATGTCAATGAATGACCACAGGCAGTATACTCGATTATATTCAGTCATCCAAATTTAAGATAAAAAAGAAAACAATAACTAAATGATTATTTTTCTCATTAAATGTTCTTCTCTCTTGCATTCCTTATGAATTTAATACATTATATTTTTTTAATATTTTAAGTGAGCATTCCTCTATAATTCATCTTTAGAAATGGGGTAGCATTCCTTCCCATCACCCGTAAGCCCATTCGGACATGAGCCACATGTGTATCCTGTTCCCGGGGCTGGGATGTCTTGACACGTGACTCCAGGGTAACATGGGGCCTCTCTGCAACCAGGAATATCTGAAACAAAAAACAGACGAAAGAAATAATCATCAAAACTATCTAAGTTAAATCCATTATCTAGGGAATGGCGCCATAAGGTGCAAAACTGACCACGAGATGGCGTAGTGGTCTGGAGTGTTTTGTCCTCGCCCCCCCCCTCCCCCGCTTAACCCGTCTTGCTAAAAGTTGATATACATGTACCAGTTATGTACTTATTCAAATGAATACTGTGACCCCACCCTCTACCAGGGTCACTGAGATTTTTCTCGACAGATATTCATATTTTTTCTGTCCAGAGAGAATTTTTGCCCAACATTCATGACGTCATCACCCAGGGGGGGCTGATACAGAGCACGGAGCTCCCATGTTAACTACTAAAGGATAGGTACGCACGGGGGAGGCCTGGGATAAAGCCAAATGTCATTCTTTAATTCGGTCTGGATATCATCCTCCCAGTGCGCCTTTACTGACACACGAGGCTGCTCTCATTTCGTGTTTCATATTTATGCAGACTCTAATGTCATAAGTTCATTTACACAATGCCCATTTAGAATACAGCGGGGACATGAATAAGGCAAGACTAGTATCATGGTTATGCAAGAATGCAGGCAGATCTATTACCTGGAATCTTATGTTACAGCAAACTGTGAAATTTTTTTGGAGCGTGCTAGCTGTCTTACCAGTAAACCTTTACATGTAGCTTGGACCAGCTAAATCTATAATACTAGTATAACCCAAAGCATTATTTATATTGAACGATATGTTTATGCAGAAACATGTGATATTTTAATTAGAGAATGAGTATATCATCACTTCCCATTAGATAGCCTCTATGTGTCTTCACTGGCGCCAGTTGTGGTGCACTTTTCCCAAACACCTTCATGGAGTTATAATGTGTTTTTCACAGGAGGGCACAGGTGTGGCACAGGTGTGGGGTGCTGTGACTTCCTTACACAACAGGGAATAAGAAATATGTACCTTGTATCATCAAACTTACCTGTGTCGCAAGCTAATCCTTCATAGCCGCTATCACAATAACATTGACCGGAAATGACGTCACACTTCCCTCGATCACAGTTACATATCTCCGCACAGTTTTCTCCGTATCTTTTGTCCGGGCATTCTGTGCAGAAAAAGGGCAATGAAATGAATGGTCATTTGGATGATAAAGAGTAAATTATATATCCTGTCGATTCACAGGGAATTTAAATGTTTTTCGGAGAGTTAAGTTTCATTCAAAATTTAACTGTTGCTATAGTAGGCCTACTAGTACGTTGTATGTCTCCTAAGAGTTTTGAATAACTTTCACTGCAAAGATACTCTAAGACACATTTAAAACTTACCAATTTCTTTAATTTGCACTTTAAAACAAACTGAGGACTTAACCTGTAATGTCTGACAATTCAAATAGGTTCGTTACCTGAACATATCGCAGCCCCGGGCTGTGACGTCATTCCTACAGGACAAGGAAGACAGATCGTCTGCTTGGTGAAAGGCTGGTAACTTCCTGCCGGGCAGTCCGTGCATGCGTTTTCTGTTTTATTGAAAAAGGTTCCTTCCGGGCAAGGGACTGGAAAAGTTTAAAAACATATACACCAGGGGCTCGGTGTGTTGTGTGCATTACTGCATGTTGTGTTCTGATTACAAAAAGCACTACGGCTACTAAAAGTAAACTACTTTGCTCGTTAGAAATGTGTGCCTTAAATAATAATAAAAAATGAAGTACCGGCCATGTAAATATATAGTAACATAACGGTAACTTATCAAAAGCCTTTAAATTCTGTGGAGTTTACAATGACGTTTGACGGATCATTATTCTTAAAAGTTAAATAGAATGGCTTGAATGCAGTCTTAAATATAATGTCAATGCTAGCCAAACATACAAACGAGGTGCAAGAATACGTGCATGTATGACATGATGTCAAATCACCCACCACAGTTGGACTGGTCGTCCGCCTTCATCCCCTCCTCACACTGGGCTATGACGTTGGACACCTTGGCTCCTCTCTCTTTGGCCTCAAATGTCCTGTTGGCGGCCACAAAGGCGACTTTATTTCTCTGTTCTGAGTAGAGCCGGTACAGGGTCCTCTTGGCGTATATCAGCGCCGCTCTCAAGAAGCGGTGATAAACAGAACTACAGCGAGTATCACAGATGTAAGTTGGGATGCGAAGTCTACGGCAGATTTTGTCGCAGTCAGTAGTACTGTTGAACTTTTCTGCCTCCAAGATGAAGGCAATGTCCACTTGGTCCAGTTCTTCCGTCTCCCCGGTCCCTCTCTTGCGTCTTCGCTTCACCCCACCACAGATAATACCGATGTTTCTCATGTCACAGACTTTCATACGCCTAGCCCGGCAAACACCCTCCTTCGACAATGCATCCGCGAACTGGCGGCGCACTATTTCTTTGTCGTCCTCGGTTAACAATTTGCACTGCTTTGTGAAGTAGGCAGTGTCAGCTTCGAGTCGGAAACCGGGAAAGAACTCCTCTGAAAAGTAACAATGCAGCTGTCTAAAACGCTATACATATCTTAAACTGTGATTCAAATTGCTATTAACATAATATAATTGTCACCTTAATAGACTTCGTGCAACTTATACAGTACATGTATGTGATGATATTTCATATAAGTTCTTTTTGTAAATGTGATTTTTTATCATCGCTCAAAACTTGGAAATTGTTCAACTGACGCATTCAGCTGAGTTCCTAGAGTTTATTTAAACCCAAAGAACACATTTTTCTAAGAAGCCACAAAACGGAAGAGAATGTTTGACTGCAGGTGCCCGTTATGTTACCTATGCAAGGTCTGAGTCGGGCCGTGGGGTCTACTCGTCTAAATGACCACTGGAAGCCCGTGGTGGGGCCGCAGGTTTCAAAGGCGTTGATACGAGAGGGGAAGTCATAGCCCGGGTTACACTTCAGTGTGCACTGCTGGGAGTTCTCTTCATGATACCAGTGGCAAACCAGACCGCCATGTTTAGGAGCCTCGCTCTGCGTGAGGTTCTTACACTGCTTCTCCACTGTAGAAAAAGGGGCAATAAGACCAACCAGTTGATTAAATAAATAAATAAATGCATAAATAGATATCACTGAAATATCCTTGAAATAAAATGATTAAAATTATTAACGAACAACAAAAGTAGTTCTCTTTTCCAATTTGCCACAGTATAAACATATATCTAGAAATATCCGAATATTTCAGATACAATTCCTTTTTTCTTCCTTTGCCATTTTTCTTCAAGATGCATTTTGTAAGTACCGTCCCATTAACTGCAATGCAGTCTAGATCTCAAATATGGAAGGTATAAAAAGTTGCCGTTTTCTTCAAATAGCAGTTTTGAATCAAACAGATATCCCATTAGCATGAGAGGAAGTAAGTGATAATAAAAATTAACCAGCACAATACAGGTACCTTTGCACGTGTGTTTGTCCACGTCGAGGGCGTAGCCTTGAATGGAGCATGCGCACCTGTAACTTCCGGGGGCATTTTCACAGACTTGCTGACAAGGACCTTTGCCTTCGTTGGAGTTGCACTCGTTTTCATCTATAATCAATATAAAAACCCCAACATTGGCTTTGATTACCTTAACACACATCCATGCATCATTTGGTTCGTATTGATGCATTTTCAGACTGCCTTGACTACCTGATTTAAGTAAATTTTTTATTCACGTTGTAATAAAGACTCTAATCAGAGATGTGATACAACCACTCCAAAATGAGATTGATATTTTAGAGAATAATACTGTTCCCTCTATGACGTCACCTGTGCAGGGTCCACCAGGCGGGCCCTTGTATCCTGCGTCACACATGCAACCCTGTAACGTGTTGCCCGTGCTATTGGTATGGGTGAGGGTAGGACAGGGAAGACAGCTGGCGATACTGGCCTTGTAGGTGTTTATTGGGCAAGCTGAAAACAGTTATAATACCACAACGAAGTTTACTGTTAAGTAACAACTATAGGCTAGGTGATGCTGCAGGCACGTTTTCTGAATACATGTAGACCTATATGGAAATTAAATGTGTTTTATACTTGGAATGTTTTTAAAGTCCATATTTATTAAACGGTGTATATTTCTGACATGGATTATGGCTTGGTTAGTCAGCGTTAATTAAATGGCATACCTCACGATTTATGCGGTCATTTTTGCCCATGGTTTGTCTTTGGGAATATGATTCAAGGTCAATCAAAATACTCACCCAAACACAGGGGCTCAGTGCCATCCCAACTGCCCTGCTCACTTCCGGTTTCTGTGCACCTGCGTACACTACTTCCGTTTACCAACACGTGGCCTTCGTCGCACGCAAATACGCAAGTCTCGCCGACTCTCGTTCCACATGAGACCACGCTGCCATTAACAGGTGCTGAATGTGCCTTACATCTGATTTCTGAAACAAAAAGATATGACGTAATTTATTAAGATAGGAAATTAATTAGAATGAGAGCAATCTAATTAAACTCGCACGAAACAATACTTAACACAGCTAACAATGTAGTATGGAGCTACAGTTGTATTTTGTACTACAGTTATATCTACATTACAGGAACAGTCTTCCCACAGGTCCAAGTTTTTTAACTGGCTAAAAATTGACTCCCCACAAGGTGTATGAATTGGTAAATGAATAAACAAACACAATTATTTTACCCTGACAAGGTCCTCCGTTTGGCCCAATGAACCCCTCGTTACACATGCACAGCTGTCTGCTGCCCGTGGCGTTGGTGACGGTGTGAGAGTTTGGTGGACATGGAATACACAGCTCTTGTCCTTGGTCTACCGTCTTGTACGTGTCCTTGGGACAAGCTATAACGAGGGTTTATTTGAATAAGACTGTCTACGTGAATGCGATAACGCAATGAAGGGAATCCAGAATTTATGTGAATGTTATAATTCGTAAACTATTTTCACGATCGACAGAAATATCAGCAGTATATGACCATGACTTCACTCCTGCACTCCGGTGTAAAGAAAATTAGGGTCCGTCTTACAGAAAGTCCGCCCTCAATATAGTTATAATGGTTAGGGATAGCCTGACACGCTACTTAGAACTAACACTTACCTAAACAGCGGGGTACAGGTGCTGACCACTGTCTGTTAGCCCTACATACCGCCCCCTGCTGGCCACGGAGAACGTAACCATCAAGACACTTAAAACTGATGTTCTGTCTGTAGAGAAACCCGTCATCAATACGGATACCAAACTCGGGATTACCTGGGTTACTGCAGGTTATAGCTAAAAAATACAGTGTAATTACATGTATCATGTGCATTTTTCAAGTCAACATAATGCTTACGTTCTGGAGGATCATAATACATGTGGGTAACCGTAGCTACCAAACGCAATCTCATAAGCTCATGCCATATGGATGATCTATACATTTTAGAAAAATGACCAAAAGAATATGGATAAATTGTAAGCGTCAACAAAACATATTTGAAAACGTTTTCAACACCCCTTAGCGCACACGGCCTTACGATTGGGAACATTTCTACCGGTTGCTGTAATGATACCGTTATGTCTAAGCATGTGCAACATTTGTGTCTATGGCCTAAGTTTATTAACATTGACTACGGTGGCAAGTACATTTTGTCTTTTTTATTTGTCTTCTGGAATGGTCTGTCAATTAACCATTTTTATCAAGGCAATACTATAAAACTACCTTCACATTCTGGAACTTGTCCTGTCCAGCCGCCGTCCGCCAGACACTCAATAGTGCTGTTACCAACAAGCTCATAGCCGCTGGCGCACGAGAATACAAGTTTGGTGCCCACGCCGTTTCTCTCGTTGGTTCTCGCGATATTTCCATTGGCTGGCGCCTCGAGTTGATCACAGTTGATCTCTGCAATAGTAACAAAGTACAGTTTGTACTTGTTTTTAGGGGAAAAACTAAGTCACCACTGGACACAGATGAAGACTACCCGTAGAACACTATTCAGTGTCTTACAGTAGGCCTACATATATGTATTTTGCGAAAATGTAGCATTTGTACTGAATTTTGTAGATGACTTTAACAGGGATGATCACGGTTCATATACTGGTGTATATAAGACTTTGAAATAATGCCAGTTGAACAGCAAATTAGAAAAGGATTTAACTAAGCAGTAAACAGATTATTTTCTGAAAAAAATGAAATGAATGATTTAGTTAATAAACAGGTCTAACCTTTACAAATGGGTTGTTTTCCACTCCAGGATCCAGTTGGAAGACACTTTCTGGATGTTGACCCGATCAGCTTGTAACCATGGTTACAGGTGAAGGTCAACAAGGCGTCATAAGTGTACACGTGACCACTTCGCGCGCCATTGTTGGGGATTCCGGGATTTCCACAGTAACGCGCTGAAAAAGGGGCGGTACAGGTACGTATTTTAAATTTAAATAAACAAGGGAAATGTATACTGACGCAACTTCGCCCTGTGCTGTATGCAGCCTACAACTAGTAGTATATAGGTCAATGGAAGAAGCATTTTGTGTCGTTTAAAAATATAATATTTGGGGCCAGTTTCATTGGAAAAAGTAAGAAATGCCCTTCGTTTAAGACATACAGTAATAATGTTTTATGAATACTTCAACATATCCAGAATCAATCCCGCCAACACATGGTATATATACACATAGCCTCACCTTGGCATGTCGGCTTCACGGCGCTCCACATGCCTCGTTTCTTCACATCCTGTACACATGTCATGGAGTCTGGCCCATGTAGCAGGTACCCTGTGTCACACTGGAACCCCAGGGTGTCTCCATACAGGTACATGTCTTTACTGTTCACCAGGATACCGTGATCAGGAGCAGTGACATTAGGGCACTCCAGGCCTGTCATAGCATGATGGGGTTTAATACATAAATAATAATAATAATAATAATAATAATAATAATAATAATAATAATACAGGTACATGTCTTTACTGTTCACTAGGATACCATGATCAGGAGCAGTGACATTAGGTCACTCCAGGCCTGTCATAGCATGATGGGGTTTAATACATAAATAATAATAATAATAATAATAATAATAATAATACAGGTACACGTCTTTACTGTTCACCAGGATACCGTGATCAGGAGCAGTGACGGTAGGGCACTCCAAGCCTGTTATAGCATGTAGGGGTTTAAATACATAAATAAAAGTAATAATAATAATAATAATAATAATAATAATAATAATAATAATAGATTATTTTGAGTTTAAATTCCAATTTGCTCAGCAGCCTTGCAACGTGAATAAGGAATAAAAAAACAATAAATGAAAAGGAAAATTGTTTTAAACAGGTATAATTGATTAAAACAAATAATGTTAATTAAAACAAAGTTAATTCATTACAATCTTTAAAAAGTCGTTAAAAGAAAAAAAATTGTTTTATTTTGTTGATTCCATTATGAAGGCGGTTCTTAAAGGGATAATAACTCTTCGTTTCGGCCAAAAAATGAATTTTCCTGGAGTAAACAACAATTTTCCCATACTTACCAATGGTTAATGAATCCATTTTTACATTCAAAGTTAGTCCCTGTTTTTTTTCTAAAAAGTTTGGTTTTTTGTTAAAATCTCTTAAGATATTATAACAGAGTATAGCCATCAATGGAGGTCACGTGGTCTAAAGACAAACTCAGATATTAGAAAAATAGCTTTAACTGCCGTTTTTGTGGTAAAACAGAATATATTATATTTCTATGAGTTACTCACAATGTTTTTATTGTGACATATAGATCTCATACGAAGAGTTATTATCCCTTTAATATACTTAAATCATAATGTCCTATAAATCAGTGTAGAAAAGTTTAATGCTTGGCAAATCGAGGACCAAAATATTACCAAGGACCCGCTCGTAATAAGCTGAGAGGTGCTGTACTTTGCAAGAATATCATGTTATTTAACTGAACACACTGAAATAACGAACAAAATCATCCACTCACGTTGACAGGGCTCTGGGTCTCTGCCGGACCACTTCCCGTCCAGTTGACACGTCCTGTGCCTGTCCCCCTCCAGACGGTAACCCTTGCCACACACATAAGACAGGTGAGAGTTGTAGGTTGCCGGCCACACCACCACGCCCTCTATATGCCCGTATTGTGGCTTGGCTGGGCGAGGACATGTTATTGCTGAAAAACAGTACAGGCATTGTGGAGGTGAATGTTTAACAGGTGAGAACCTTTCCATTCCGACTTTGCCAAGAGGCAGTGTACAGGTATAAGTGATTGAGCGGGGAGCGGGTTGTAGGCCTACATGTACTAAGTAATATAACTATTACACTATATAGCTCAGGGATATTATATACTTTACATTGGTCTACTAGGAGAATTTGAACAGTGCTTTGCCGGCCAAGTCAAACTGCAGTCAGTGCAACTGCAGGGCTGAGATGAGGAAAAGAAGCGTTGTATAAATACGGATCGACATAATAGCATAGGACTTAAGATCTTACTATTTGTTGCGCTCTGTTATTCTGAGGCGAAAATAAACTTAAAAGCTTCTGGTACCTTCCTCACAGCATTGTCCGATATAACCTCTATAACAGATACATTTGTCTCCGTTGCCAACGCCTCGTTTTCGGCAGTTTATGTAGCACACCTGCTGCTGAAAGCGGTCCGGAGGCGGCGGCAGTTTCTTACAGTCAGCTGTGGCGTCGGCCTTGAGTGTCCTTGACCTTGACCTTTTCCCGCTGTCACAGGGGCCACTACAGGGACTCCACTCCGACCACGGCCACTGCTGGCGACATTTGATTTCTACCAAAGCTTGGTGCTATCGTAATAAAAAATGGTCATAAAGTTATGTAATGATTCAAGGGAAATCTTGATAATATAACACTTGTCTTGTTTTTTTCCATGCCCCTTAAAATGTCAAGCTTTTTTTTTTTTTTTTTTTTTGTTTTTTGAAAAGCCTCTTTTTAATGTTTGAATAAAGCTTTCACTTGGCATTTAAGTCTTGTTTCGCTCTCAAAACCAGATGTGAATTATGACATTTGCAATCTCATTGCGACAGAGAAGATTCTTTGATTGTGCCTCACTCCACTTAGCATTCAACAGGATTTTGGAAACGTAATGTGTCAGGCAGATCCGCGTGCCCTTTTTTTTTTTTTATCTATTTAAAGTGATGTTACATTGGCAGCTTAAAAGGTCTAAAATCGGGAGACAGCATAATCTGTCATTTCGTATAAAATGAACACTTTTTTCTCAAGTGATTGCTTTTTCATTCTCTCTGGCAAATAGGACACCCCTCCAAACTATCGCACCTGAATCTCTTCTACATGTAATATTCTCCTGTCATCCAAGTTTGGACCTCCCCCTCCACCCCCCAGTGGCCTCAGGGTGCCCCCCAGCGCCCTCAGGGTGGCTTATCTTACCTGTTCTCTGTCTGACTCTAAACTCTCCCTGTATCTCTCCACAGCCTCCTCACCGCGGTCAAACCAGCCCCGCTTCACCCGTTTACGATACACTGGCCTGGTGTGCAGGAAAGCCTTGGCCTGGCGGGCCACCAGGAACCGCGCCATAGCCTCTTCATGGGGCGCTGATCGCTCCACACTGTTGTAATAGCCGGGGTTTGAAAATAAACAAATAGAATATATAAGACGACATACAGAGTACTGGCATACTTTGGGGGGTATATTGATGAAATATGGCATGTGGATGGACGGATGGATATAATAATTAGTGAATGTATACATTAATATAAAAGTCAGATAAATAAATAAATAAATAAATAAATAAATAAATAATGAGCGAACATATATAAAAGATAAATAAATAAATAAATGTAAATTAATACATAAATAAAAAATAAATAAATGTACATACAAGTGCATGTCAAATTTTACATTACCTGTCTAGCGTCGCCGAAGCGCCCCCTATTAACGCACATATAAACCAGACGACTAAAGTTCTGTCCATCTCAGTAGTCGGCTTGGTGACAGTGAAGCTCTACGTACAATATGTCAGACTGTAAATGTAAAAAACTCCACGTCCTGAAATTGTTTTTAAAAATCCAGGTTCCCTCCAGCGTCCCCGGCTCTCCCGGATACGGAGTGGCAAGCTTAATTAATCACAGCTGGTGCTATTTTCTTCCGCGTTCGTATCCTGTTGTTGTGAACCGGTTAATGTTCGTATTAGTGGTGTAGGGGAGATAAACTTGTACTAATAGTCTGTAAACAGGACTCAGTCAGTGATAAGTCGAGCACGCGTCTGCTGTCACTCCTATTTAAACAACGCCAATCTCTAAATAAACACCGTTCACAGAGAGTTGAATGAAGCCCTTTGCACGCGTTGTTTTGTTTTTGTTAAACAGAATGAGTGCCCCATTTACAGAGGAGTAACACGCTGTTCTTCTTACTGCACCGTCCTTTAAATTATTAATGGTGAGAAATGGAGCCATATACGTATAACTATAAAATATGTTTTCTCTTATTGCTTAGTGAATGACAAATCCAACTGAAAACACATTACTAGTCATCTCTGCCGTCCAGTATAGCGCTGGCGCCACGTGCAGCAGACATGATCTTGACACACGAATACCCTCAGGGGTGCCGCTTTTCTTTGTGGGAAGGGTGAAATAAAAATAATATTTTAATGACTTGTGTCCGGCTTTCCTTGATTTTCGAATTTTGCGAGTGGGAGATTCAGTGCACCAGGCCTATATATATGTTGAAGCAAATCTAAATTGCAACGATCAAATGAGAAAGGGGAAAAACATAATCATTAGTGGGGAACGTTGAAGAAGTCTTAACTGGAATGGGGGTGAGCTATGCATAGCTTCCCTGATCTTATTGATCGTTATCACTAGATCAACCCATGTTGGTGTTTTAATTGTCCTGGTGTCTATTCTCACAATTCCATCTTTCTCATGATATCATGGGATTTTCCTTGATGTATTTTAAGTACGACAGTGTAGCGTGACCACGTAGATGTAGATGATATATACAGCCATGTGTACCAGTAACGAACCCACCCACGTCATATAGCGCCAGTGGCCAGTCACTTGTGGTTAATTTAAATGGGCTGGATACAATCTTCTTTCAAGTTTGAGCTTTCAGGATGTTGTTCTGATTACAGGACTGTTTGTTCTTGCTGTTGTTCAGCGTCTGACCCCCCGCAAGGCAGTAAATCCTGTTTTACGAAATGAGCTGTCACTCAGCAGGAGTGGCCTCAGGCTCAAGGCCGCGGATCCGGGTGCGAAATTTCAGCAAATATTCCCCGCCCCGTATCTCGCAACAACAGAACTGCCTGGCTTCATCAGCTGACTGGCCGCGTATAAGCTGAAAACAGCGTGTGCGTAGCGATAGACGTCTGTTCAACATGGAGGCGTTCAAGTTGCAATCCTTTTTGCTCTTTCTAGCAGCATTTTTGTTAGTGTTGACGTTGATCCAAGCCGAGGACACAGGGTAAGCGTTTTACAATTACGTTCAACTTTCAAGGCTTTCAAGGCGATTTTCGGCGATAAGTTCTTTAGAATTGTTCTGTGTATTTTTCCAGTTTCATAGAATGAACAGTGGAAGTCTTCCACAAAGATTATAACTATAAATAATGGAAAATACACGTACAAATCACTCTTATTAAGACTTAGGGAGCTGCTATTTTATTTGAAATGAATCTAGTAAAAAATCATGAACAGAAATTGGCAATAAACACGCAGAACTTGAGAAGGATATTACTGAAAATAAGAAGACGTGCCTTGATTTGTTTTGAAAATGGTCTCAGGGTTATGACTTGTTACGTTTGAATAATTTTTATCAGCTGCAACTAATATTGTCAGAAGTTCTAAACATTTTAAAACTATAAGCAAACGTTCTCTGGTAGGTTCTTACATAATCTGCAATAGTGGAACAAAATCTTCTGGCATGGGACGCACCTTCTTTTAAATACAAGCATTACTTAGATATACGTTTTGACTGTTTACTCCTTAAAATCATACAAAAAATATTGAATGGACATTTTTTTATTACAAATTGTGATCATTAGTTCTAATATGTACAAGAAGGTAAAGTGTGGTGTGATTTGAAATCTGTTTCCTCCCTGTATTCTCCTGAGAGTAGCGTAAAGTTGGGATTATGGAGCATCTTTGAACCGGCGTCTTCCCTTCATTAATAAAAAATGATTCTATATTTAAGACAAAATAATAGTTGTTTACACGTATTTATTTTTGAAAAGACTTCTCACTAAATGTTGATACTGCATATTTTGGAGCAAAACGAAAATCCTAAATGGCATGAAAATTAACAGAAATTTCTCGATGTGTGAATTATCAAACATTACCCTGCCTGTGACTTCAACAGCAACAAAAAATTTACAACAGCATAGAAATAAATGGCTGCAGGGAGCCGGTCACGACTGAGACTGACCCTGTGTATCTCAATAACAGCAAGTATCATCAATCCAATCTAAGTCATTGGTTATACGTGGCCGATCACTTTGTCAGATTTTTCGTTTAAACACTTGTTCATTTTTTCCGGAAAACAACCATTTTCACGTTTGTATATCGTCATGGATGAAACCATGTAAGTGGTGATATCATCGTATTCTTCAGTGCCACTATTACGGAGGACGACACCATGTTTGTTGACGAGGCTGAAGCCAAGGCTTACCGACCTCGCCGAGTGAAGAGAGGCTGGAGACGTATACGGATCAGGGTGAAACGCATAACTGGAGAGGAAAGAAAGGAAGAGAGAGAAAGCCGCAGCGAGCAAGCCAGACGAGACGAGCTGAACAGATTCTGTACCGCCAACTGTTGGTCTCAATGGACGCCATATTCCCCGTGCTCTGTCCAGTGTGGACACGGAGGTAAATGTTTTATTGTTAAAAGTACATATTCACCCTATGAGATTTGATACCCCCCCCTCCCCCTCCTTCAATGCATGCACCCTATAAACGATTTAACCCCTTTAATGTATTTTCTGGGCCGTACCTGATGTTGATGTATCCATCAGAGCTAAGGAAGATGATCTCTGGTTATAATGACTGGCCAGTCATTTTTAATCAAATCAGCCTTTGTAGATTTAAGTGAAGGTCACATCTAAGTGCAGAAAGGGATAGATACATGATTCGTGAGAACGAGAACATTGGTTATTTCCCAAGGAAAATCAATTTGGGGGGTAACATGTAGCTGTCCTTTAATGCTGGCAATGATCTGATGGTGCTATCTTTATTTAAACATTTCATTATTCTAATAATTATCTAAATACTCAAGCGTTACATAGATTTCACAATTGTTTGGCTTTGGAATTATGTCCTTTTTATTAACATGGCCATCAGTTTCCACGGATTCACCTTTTCTGTCACTAAGCTGCTTAAGATTAATATGTGCGCGTTAATCTTTTGAAATAATATAAAGCGATATTTCAATAATTTTCAAATAGGCAGATCAAGAGGGCTCATCCACGAGGGTAATAAAGCACTAGTGTTTTGTACGTAAATAGATGCTGAATAGGTTTAGACTAAAATTGTACATTTATACTCTTACTCCGAAGTTAAAGTGCTCGGCTTGACGGTCTCTGATCTCAGAAATCCCCTGGTTTTCCACTACTTGAAACTAAGTGGAAATAGTGTGAACTCCCAGACTCGGATTGTGATTCAGTTTTGGACAAGGGAGGTATTTATTACTATTGATAACTATCCTATACATGTATGTTGCAACTAATGAGTCCCCTCTTTCTCCTAGGCACCAGAACACGCACGCGATCTAAAGCTCCTCCAGCGAGGTGTTCAGGCTGGGCCGCCGGACACAACTGTAACGGACCCTCCCTGGAACGCCCGGGGTGTTCTGTACCCTGTAGTAACGGTGGCACCCCTGGGAATGCGATGTGCTCCTGTTCACCCGGGTTTATTGGGAAATGCTGTGAGACCAGTAAGTGGAAGTCATACCCATTTATTGTGTATTTTTCATTTAAGGTCGACCAGTCAATGAGAAAACCTACCCGTGATATTACATAGCCAGTGCTAGTACACTTCATTGCGACAGTAAAACACGTACAGGTTTTTTTTTTAAATTTAAAGTAAAGAATAAACTATATTGCAAGACTGCTGTGAAATTTTGCAGTATGTTAACCTTAAATCATATTTAAAAAATTTAAGAAGGTTATATGAAGAATACATATCATTAATGTTTACAGAGGTCACCTGTCAACATCCGGGCAGACCCGCCCATGGTGACGTCACACCGAGTGCCCCCCCGCATGACGTAGGCACAAGGGTTACATACAAGTGTGAGACCGGCTACCGCCTGCAAGGAACGAACACTCGAACTTGTCAAGCCAATGGCCAGTTTGATGGATCATTACCGACTTGTTCGCGTACGTGTGTGATACATAGAACCTTGATCTTATAATCTTAATCCATTGTGACTTAAGAATTTGCATTACACCCCGGTTTTTCAAATATTGGAATAGAAATATAAAGAGTCACCAGGTCAGTTTCTTATCATGGTTATAAATACGAATATTACAAAATTTGTTTGTTATTCACCAGAAAAGAACGAGCAACGACGATTTTCTTCAAGCCAAAGATAACTACTGCATAGTGGCATCTATTATTATGATATGTTTTAATGATCACATATTTCCAACTGGTTCTAGTCGTTGACTGTGGAGATCCGGGTACCCCCACCAAGGGGAACCACAGTGTGACAGCCACCACGTACCAAGGCACCGTATCCTACTCGTGTTCTACAGGGTACAAGGTTCAGGGAGACACCACCAGGACATGTCAGGCTGACGGTACATGGAGTGGAGAACTGCCACAGTGTCAGAGTAGGTCCAACACGGCACCGCAGTCCGCCTTTATACCTGTATCCCCGTTATAGAGTCCTTAAATCCGCTTTGTTACTCACTCTGTTTTCTCTCCTCTTTTTTTTTTTCTCTTTCAGTATGCAAATGTAAATTACAGAGAAAATATAAAAAAAAAATATAAGAAGCTAAAACGGTTGTCAGACACTTTAGAACATAAATTAATAGTTAAAGATATCTATAGTATTTATATTTGTATTCATTCCACTAGTCATCTCCTGTGGCGCCCTCCCCGGGTTAGAAAACGGGGTTCAGAGTCACTCCGGTGGCCCTCCTGGGAATGTGTACGGGGGAGAGATGACATTCAGCTGTAACAGTGGGTTTTACCTACAGGGGTCTAGACAGAGAAAATGTCAACTATCAGGACAATGGGACGGAACGCAACCAACTTGTGAACGTAAGGACATTTACTGAATAATGGTTTGATTGGATGATGTTTTTGGATGATAAAAAGCCTCAGTTCTTTTGGGGTTTTTTGTGTGTCGTAAGGAGTTCTTAGGAAGTATTGTAGTGCCGCGCTACTATTTCTTACATATAAGAATTTTGTATTGCTCTGAAGTGCATTGAAAAGGCTAGTCACACTGAGAGATCATAAACTCTACATATAACGTATAGGTTATAAGATATTGATTATTGCTTGATCAATTCAATCCGCTAGCCATATTTATTTTTAGTGTCCATTCGATTTTTCTACAAACATATGTGTATTTGTAAAAATGTGTATTATTTATGATATTTTATGTAAAGTCTACTGAACATTTTAAATGGATTTTAGACTTAAAATAAATTTATTATTTATTATTATTATTATAAAAATGTTCTTAAAGAAAACTGCTTTGATATTTTTTATGTAACAGTGATTGCAATAAGAACTTTTCCTTATATCAGCTATCGTCTGTCCTGATCTGACAGACCCACAGTTTGGAACCGCCTCTACACCTCAAGGAACCCGGTTTGGGTCAAAGGTCACCTACACCTGTGACAGTGGCTACATGTTACAGGGAGACGCTGAGAGGACATGTGAGGCACAGGGTATACAGGGGGTGTGGTCAGGAAGTAAACCTCAGTGCACACGTAAGTTGACAATGACGTCATCGATTATGTTTACGTCACAAAGAATGTTGGTCAATATCATTTGACTTGTAATTTAAAGTAAGTGTGTGCAAATATGTTATTTGAGGCGATTGATCTCTCTTTTATATTGGTTTCATATCTGAAATAACTGAAAAATAAATTGGCCTACATAAATAATAAGATAAGACGCAAATAAATAATATTTGCAATCTAATATAAATTAAAATGACCATATAGAATACTATGAAATTTACGGATAAAATATTCTCAGTTTTCATTGAAGCCATTCAGAAAAAACCTGCTTTATTTCAGCTGTGGACTGTGGTGACCCAGGTCTTCCCCAGAATGGTGTCAAGACCGGAAGTGATTACACGTTTGGAAACGAGGTCAACTTTCAGTGTCAGCCCGGCTACTTCCTTCAAGGCAGCGATAAGATCACGTGTACAGCATCCGGGCAGTGGTCTGCAAAATTACCTAACTGTTCAGGTAGATTGATGCCAATTTCTTTATACGTTTCAGACAATTATATAAATTGATTATATATATATATTAAAAGGGAAATCAAACATGATATAAGAGAAATGTAATTATTAATTGATAAGATGTTTTGTTCATTTATTATACCCGGCACAGGTTCATGTACTGTTGTCATGATTGTCCATTTCTGCTATTGTTGCTAATGTGTCTTTTCTACTTCCAGCTTGTCCACTCAACCAGTACAAACCCGGTGTGAACAGCAGAATATCCTGTGTGCCATGCCCTGAAAACTCCCACACTCTAGATGGCGCCAGTACTGATGTCACTCAATGTATTTGTAACTATGGTTACGAGGGTCCAGCTGGGGGTCCATGTTCAGGTGGGTGTGGTCTTTGTGTTATCAATCAATTTATTTAATAAGCTATTTAAAGTGAGGTTCTGTAGCAGTGTAGTACTGTAGTTTATATCTTAATAGAAGTCATCTCTTTGTATTCTGCAATCCACATCTTAACCTGCAGGTAGTTTGTGTGCCAAAATCTCTCAACTTCTCACAATGGTCTTCATGGGTTTAATCAATTGGTTTGTTTTTATGTAACCTAATACCAATATCATTGTCTCTAGAGATCCGTTGCCCTGCCCTGAATCCCCCAGACCACGGCAGTATTGCAGCCTGTCAAACTGCAGTGAACGACACGTGTACTTTCCAGTGTGACCCAGGGTACATCTTTGGAACAGAAAGTGAAAGTGCCACCAAAGTTTGCAAAATCGATGCCACGTGGACGGGTGGAAATGTCACGTGTCTTGGTGAGTGAAAAAAAGAGTTAAGCAGCTACCAGTATGAGGAGTGTGTGTACAATCGCTGCCTTACCTTTATATCAAAATGTCATATAGGACGAACACAGACATTTGCACACAAACTTAGGTTTATATTTGATTTAACTACATGTATATATTTTACATCAATTCTTCCGAGTCAGCAGCAATAATACAATTTACCATTTCATGGATTGACAGTCAATGCCTCATTTAGTCCATAATTACGTTAACAGTAACAATGTTTTAGTAACAAAGACCATTCCTTAAGACTGCTTGTATATCCATGTGACATATACATTTCAGAATGTCCGGTAAATACGTACAAATCCGACCCCACATCATGTGACAGCTGTCCCGCACTGACGAACACCAATGGAACTGTGGGTAATGTAATATCCGGCTGTGTGTGTGATGGCGGGTACAGGGGACCTGGAGGTGGACCTTGTGATGGTAGGTGGACGGGGAAATTTACTGACTATTTTGGTGAAAAGTTTGCACTGATGTCTGCTACTGTCTGCTGCTGAAGTACAAGTAAAGATACACTGCATTGTACATCATTTGTATTATTTTATGGAAAATTAACGATGCCCTGTTGTATCTGGATTTTATTTTGATGTGGAAGACGTGCGGTTCTCAATTCTTAATTCTAAATCTTTTTTGTTTTCTTTAGATATTGACGAATGTGTAGAAGACAATGGTGCAGGTTGTAATCAAACATGTGAGAATACTCCTGGAAGCTACAGGTGTCTGTGTACTATACCTGGTTATAGAGTTCACCCAGTTGACTCAACGTTATGTGAAGGTACATTTAATAATTATTATATACCTGGTTATAGAGTTCACCCAGTTGACTCAACGTTATGTGAAGGTACATTTAATAATTATTATATACCTATACTTATAGAGTTCACCCAGTTGACTCAACGTTATGTGAAGGTACATTTAATAATTATTATATACCTGGTTATAAAGTTC